CAGAGAGCTGTCATGTATCAGAAGGCATCATCTCCACTTGAATTATAACATTCTCCATATTTAGAGCACAATTCTTTTTATTTGGGGCATGGCACTTTTCATCCCCATGGCATCTTAAATATTTTTTTCAGTCTCTGACACCACAGGGTTTAGGCTTACAGAAAATGGATTTCTTCTTCTTTTCCAAAAATTAAAACAAAAAGAACTAAAAAAAGGCCAATAAAGATAGAAGAAATACTCTGATAATCATTTGCCTTGCTGAATTATTCCGTCACCAAGGATTGTGGTTTCTGCTCCCATCTTCTCTATAACGCCAGAAGACAAAACCATGTGACAATCCAAGTATTTCAAAATGAAGGGCCGGCCCCGTGGCTTAGCGGTTAAGTGCACGCACTCCGCTGTTGGCGGCCCGGGTTCGGATCCCGGGCGTGCACCGACGCACCGCCTCTCCGGCCATGCTGAGGTCGCATCCCACATACAGCAACTAGAAGGATGTGCAGCTATGACATACAACTATCTACTGGGGCTTTGGGGGAAAAATAAATAAATAAATAAAATTATACAAAATGAAGAAAGTGGATAAGTCTGGAGGAGAAGACACAAGGATCCAAGCCTAAAATCTACTCCAATATGTATTTTTAGAAAAACAAAACAACAACAAAACCTGTGATTATGCCAAAGGCAAAAATGCAGATCTTTAATCATAAGACCTAAAAAAATACTTTTAGTAAAACTTAATACTAACTTAATTAATTTAATTTTCTGTTGATACCTGCCATCACATTTCCTTTTCACATTAGGTGCCAGAATCACATTTCTGTGTATCTGATATGGCAGAAATCCCAGCTGGAAGGCAAAACAGTATAATAACTGCAATAAAGAATATTATACAATTACATCTTTCAAGGAGTTCTGAGTTAAAAGCCTATTTAGAATCCCTTGGTAGACTTTCTAGTGTATATTAACCACATCATCAATAGTTGAGTTTTTTTCACGTAATATTGATTTTCAGTGGGGAGGGGATGGCAAAAATGTGAGCAAAATAATCTTCACTGATTTTCCCATTTACTTTGGCTTTCCTTGAACATCATGCCTTCAAATAAAGGTGCTAATCCTGTGTGTTCATTAGCTTAAAAAGAACTCAAATCAACAACTGATTTATTTTTGGACAGCTTTGACAGAAATGCATTTTCACTGATACTAAAGACCCTACTTTGACAAATGGAGTGATGGAGGAGGAAGACAAAGAAAGAAGCAAAGAGCAAATCATTAAGCAGTTAGCCTGATGAGGGCTATTTATGGAGGTTCTTCATGCTCCCTCAGCAGAAGCAGAGAAATTCTGCAATGGCAATGGTAAATGTCACAGGCCATTTACACTGGACTATGATTTCTGTTTATCCTAGTAAACAGAAAGCCTTAATATGGATTGTGGTAGGCAGCATGGCCACCCAAAGATGTCCACACTGCAATCCCCAGAACCTATAACTATGTTAACTATACAGGGCAAAAGGGACTTTTTAAATGTAATTAAGGTTACAGACCTTAAAATAGGGAGATTACCCTGGACTACCCAGGAGGGCTCAATTTAATCACCCGAGCCCTTAAAAGCATAGAACTCTCTCAGGCTGGTGGCAGAAGAAGTCAGAGAGATTCCAGGCATGAGAAGGATTCAGTGTACTTGCTGGCTCTGAAATGTAGTGGCCAAAATGCAAGGACTGGAGAGAGGTCTCTAGGGGCTAACGGATGACCCCAGCTGACGGCAGGCAAATAAACAGGGACTTCAGTCCTACAAGCACAGGAACTGGATCTGCCAACAACCTGAATGACTTTGGAAGTGGGATCTTCCCAGAGCCTCCCAATAACAGCCTGGCTGACTAACGTCTCACTTCTTTGGTTTCTTAGCCAAAAAACCCAGCAGAGCCAACCCAGATTTTTTTTACCAATAGAACTGTGAAACAATAAGTTTACATTGTTTCAAGCTGCTAAATTTGTGGTAATTTGATACAGTAGCAACTAATTAGCAGAAATTAATACATGAATATAACTAAATGTGAAGATGCTCATATAAGCAAAAGTTCAATATTCAGATATAAAAATTTCAGATTAGTGCTTAATGGCTTTTTGAAAATCATAAGGGAATAATACTACCTCAGTGGCTTATTCTAACATTACTCAAAAATGTTTACAGGGAATCCAGTAGTTGATCATAGGAAATCATATTTCTTTTTTTCTACTCCTACAAAATTTCTTCTTTAACTCTCATTCTTTTGTCTAACTAGTCTCTTCAATCTTTCCTTCTGGTGTGCCAATTGGTTCTGGCATAAAGATAGTGAGATAGTCCTTGATGCTTTTCTCTTCTATGACATGAAGTCATATAAGTGCTATTTCATAAACAGTTTTTAAAAATCTCTTTAGTTTTCTGCATATCAGTTTTCACTATTTTGGTTTACTTTCTCATTATCATTCATTTAGTTCATCGCTTATTTCCCTAAGACACTTTCCAATCCTAAAGATGTAAAGAGGATTAGATCATTTACCTGCTTAAAATCCTTCAATGACTCCCTGTAGCTCCATACGCATTTGCTTGGCCTAAACAACCCTGTATATTTTGGTCCTTGCTTAATTCTTCACCCTCATGTTCTTTTTAGACTTGTATCTATTACCCTTTGATCAACCAAACTGAGATTCTTAAGTTCTTCAGAGCTATTTATATATGCTTCACCCTGTCTGAGTGCCTTGTCTTGATTCATCAACTGGATAACTTCAACTGGCATCTCAGGGCTAAACTTACGACCTTGTCTTTCTAGAGCTTTCTCTGCTCCAACATAGTCAGGGTTAGATCTCTCACCTCTGTGTTTCTGTAGAACCCAATGCTTAACACTATCATAAAACTTATCGTATTGTATTGATATCATCAGCTTACTCAACGATATCTTCTTAAATGATAAGCTTCTTAATAATAAAAAATATATTTTTCTCATTTTGTATAGACAGTGACTGTCATATACTAGGCATTAAATAATATGTGATGAATGATGGAATGAATAAATGAACAAACCAATCATTCAGTCAATCAATCAAATTAGTTAACAGAGCTCTGGTTTCTCTTCAGGGTCTGGGAAAACCAGAGTCAGAACCAGGAGTTTAGTTAGCAGAGGAACTAAATATAGTGGGTTATAAATATGTACAGATAAGAATTAGAGCCCAAAACATATGAGATTCATACAGAGGATGAACCATAGGAAGTTGAACTTAGGTAGAATGAGCCCAAAGTCTAGGGGATCAGCATAGGCCAGTGATTCTCAAAGTGTGGTTCCCAAAACAGCAGCATCAGTCTCACCCAGGAGCTTGTTAAAAAGGCAAAGTTTAGGCTCTAGCCCAAATTTACTTCATTGGAAACTCTGGGAATGGAGTCCAGAAATCAGTACTTTAATAAGTACTGATGGTACTCTGAGAAGTACCTCCAGATGGTAGTCTGAGAACCACTGATACAGGCCAAGAGAATTAGATGAGGGACTTGGATTTTAGCAAATAAGTGTCAAATATCTAAAAGATCAAGTTGCTGAGAAGAAGAGGCAAAGTTAAGAAACACTGTATATGAAAAGTTAAGCTATCAATCCTGATGGAATTGAACAGGCATAAAAGAGATAGAGCAATAGTTACAGGGAAACAAAAGCAAATAAGCTGCAATATTGAGCCAATATTTCCTAAGGTGGTAGGTCTCAACAGGCTAGGGGGTAATGTGAGGTGTGGATTCTGATACATCCTTGGGGGTGATAAAAGAGAGGGGAGTAAGAATTCATATTTAATAAAATCTTTCCAGGTGATTCAGATATTCATTACCTCTTGTTCCTAGGTGAGATGCATTATCTCATTATAATCCTTATTCAAATATCCTGACTTAGCACCAGACTGAGGTTTAAGCAGAGGTAGGAAGTAGCCAATCTAGCTCAAATAGTAGGAGTTTGGGGTGGAGGCCAGGTTCTTAACTAACACACATTCCTGAGTAGATAACACATAAGGAAGACTGAAGAAGTTTCAGTTCCTTACTCCAATGATGGTAATGAGAACAGGATGTAGGCAAAATAAAGCACAAGAAGTAGAACTTTAAAAACAAATACTTAGTTTACACTTCATTATCTATGGAAATATGATTAGCATGGACCTTAGCCAAGTATTTCAACTATGTTCCTCATTAACTATGTACAAGAATTCTTAACAAGAAACACAATTTCTGTGTGGTTGTGTACATGATGCCAAGGATTCATATAAGAATGAAAACCCAGTAGATTATCTAGGAACTTCCCCAAATCTAAATATTTGGCATTGTATAAACAAAGCCACTGATTTATTTTCAGTTTTCATGTAGAAGCTTTGGTAGCTATAGCCAGTACAGTGTTCATTTTCCCTTCTGGTAAGTTGCTATTGTTTTGAATCTATTGATCAAGTATCTATTGAAGCCCACTATATGTTCAGCAATGTCTAATTAAATTAGCAACGTGATGCCCAAAGTTTGTCAGTAATACAGAAGAGGAGAGAAACAAATGTTACTTCAGGACCAAGAAAATTCAGAATGAAATATAATCCTATTTGCTATATGGAATTGAACCTGAAACTTGATGTTGACATGTTAAAGTCAGTTAAAAGATGATGGCCCTTGAGAGTTCCACTTTTGGCAATAGCAGATTGAACCTTGTTCTGAGAGGAACTATACAAAATATACTTTTTAAATCTATTTGAAGGCACAACACAGCTGAAAAACTGTGAAGAATTAAGGGGCTAAGATCAGGAGGAGAAGGAAACCTAGAGATGTAAGCCTAGAATTGGAGGTCAATTTCCCCATTTGGAAATCTTCCTCTCCACTCTTAAATAAATAACCTACAGAAGTGCATGTACATGACCACCAAAAGACATGTGAAAACTGTGCAGAGCAGCATATTCTTGCTATGGAAATAGCCCAAATATCCATCAACAGAACGGAAAAATAAGTATATTTGTAGAATGGAATACTAGAGAGTGCTTTAAATGGATTAATTCACAAAAAGAATATTGAACAAAAGAAGCCAGAGATAAAAGTATGTCTATGAGTCTACATATACAAAGCTAAAAAACAGGCAAGACTAATCCATGGTGTTAGACCTCAGGAGCAGGGAAGGGGTAATGCTTAGAGATTCGAGTTTGGATCTGACCTGCTGTGGTTCAACGCTCCAATGTATCTCTAGAATAGGGGGGGAAAATGAGTTTTCCCTATGGTCCAAACCAGAAACAAGTTTTTCAGTGGGTTTTGGGGCTAAATTCTGAGCTAATAATTCTTTACTATTCTTTTCTTTGTCATAGTTCTCTGTACCTAAATTTTCCTCAGCGACTTCTAAAGGAAGATCAAGGCAGGCTTTAGCTTCTTGGGTTGCCTACTGAAATATCATCTTAATACTATCCCATTCCATCACTCAAGAGTCACATAATTACTGTCAAGAGATGAAATAAGAAGTCAGGTCATTTGACCCAGTGCTATTGTCATTTATCTACATTAGGGTAACTCTTTATGATGGAACAAAAGTTAGCTATTAAAAAACAAAGAAATAAACTAAAAAATATGAAGAATGAGAACACTCAGATTATCTCAACTTCAGTTTATCATTCAGTGTTCAATATATACAAATCTAAACTTTGTATCATTTCTCTGAATATCATTTATGTTGGCAGTAATAAGCATAGATCTGAAATCGCATTCTTTCCTCTTAAAATAATGAGTTCCCCTCTAGAAGTAAATACTATGGGTGATCCAAAGCCCAGATGTAACGGCAGACCCTTACTTGAAGAACTTAATATTGAAAAATAAAATGAGCATAGTTTTGAAATAATTACAGAGCAATTTTACTGTTTGAATTTATATGGTAAAGACAGATCTGATCATATTTGACATCTTATTTCTTTTGTTATTTCCTTCTGTGTTAAGCTGTTATTATCTCTCTTAACCTCCTAATGGGAGAATTATATTTGAGCAATTGCCTCTCTAGCAACATTTATGAAAATGAATGTAGTACACTCAAAATACTTCCTTCTGTAGCTCATTAAATGCTCTTTTCCAACTTGTTCACATAGAGTATGGATTATTTAGCTTCCCCATAACTGAACAGTAGAATTTACCAAACAATGGCAAGCTATTTATATATTTTCCTTTTTGTTACAAAATGCAGACAGGTACATGCCTTTCCATTGATAGTGTTATTAAAGATTCAATACTGCTTGTGAATAACAAAGGGCTGAATTATATAGCTAAGTATTAAAACCGATAAATAAAAAGTTTTTAAAAAATCTTTCTTCCCACTGTGAATGCATTAAAAAATTTTTTTTCTTTACCTCATCACAAAGAAATGTACAAAGTACTAGAATTGCTATGACCTGGAAAATTAACCAGATATGGCATTCAGTGTGTCATATGTATGTATGCATATGGATTTGAATGAGTTATAGAAAGAAATGTATCTATGTCTCTATCAAAGCTATATCGATATAGAAGAAAGAAAAAACCCCATAGAGGCTATGTTCACTCAATCCCTTTGCCAGTAAAGAATAGCTACTTAAAAACTGCCTTTTAGTATAAGGCTCATTGTCAACTTTGAAAAGTAAGAAAGTGAATCTTGAATTTAAAACTAAAACTTTTCAATATTCTTGACATCCTGTTTCTAAGTGCCGATTGCTCTTAGAGGTCAGCTCTCTTTTAGATTATAAAAATCACACAAAAGTTTTCTGATATTTTCTTTTCTTCCTTCCTTACAAGCAGAGAGATTGAAATGGTTCAGTTCTCTGCTCCCAATGACATCAGGGCAATAATCTGAATTTCTTCTCATTCCTCTCTCTCTCACCAAAAGGCATGGGTGGATCCCTTTTTTTCTCCCCTTTTTAATTGGCTTCTCTGCTACTAAATAGCTCTTGAGAAAAGTTGCACTCTCAAACGGTGGTCTGCAATGCTGTATAGGATTTTTCTCTAAATCTCCATAATGCTTTAAACTGCTTCCGACCCTCCTCATCCCGTTGGTGTTTGTGTCTGTGCTATGTGTGAGCACTCAGTTTTCCCTAGTGACCCTCATGCACCTTCCTCTCTCAACTCATACAGCGGTAATAGCTTGGGTATCCCTATTAAGCCCCAATTTACTCTAGCTTATTTTAGTCACTGCTGTTTTATTTTATTTTTTGTTCTGGCTGAAAATTCCTGTTCTTCAGGTCCCAGCTCAAGTATCACTGTGCTTGTGAGCCCTTCACATTCTCTGTACCGAGCTGCTTACATTTTCCTCCGTACTTTCATAATACTTGGGTTATCACTTAGGAATTTTGTCTTCCCACTGGATTTAGAGCTCCTTGAGATCAGAAACTAAGTCTTAGTCAAATTTGAATCCCCTACCACAAAACAAAATACACAACAGACTCAATTAATTCTTGCCGAATAAATGAATAAGCCAATTAGCTGTAAGAACAAGGCAAGGATACACATCCTTCATTGTGTGTGTAGTCTTTACAGCAGTGATGTCCAACTCATGTACCAGGGTCCCTAGGGTGGCAATGGAGTTATTTCATGGGGGTAACACAGTTGGTAAACGGTTATTTTTGCTTGTTCAGCATACACTCATCCTTCTTTATTTTCCTTGGGAAGTCCCCTTCCTCACTTTTAGCTCGTGAGGTTCATGTAGATCTAGGATTCTAGGAGTGGTTTATGAATTATCTGGCCAATCAAAACATCACATTCTCCTATCTATGGTGATTGGCTCAGGAATAAGTATGAGGCCAAAGCTAGGCCAATCAGAGCCAATGATATACAATTGTAGGCCATGTGTTGATAATGAGGAACCGGAAGACCTCTTTACACGGCAACAGTGGCCACCAGGTGGAGGTGATGATATCGTTTGAAATCCTAGATCTAGCCATACTTAAAACACATCTACTCCTGGATTTTTCAAGTATGTAAGCAAAAATCATTTTCTATTTTGCTTAAGCCAGGTAAGTGGATTTTCTGCCATTTGCAACTTAAAAAGGCCTAATCCAGTCTAATAAACCCAATTTGCACTAAGCTTTGTCTAGATTAGAAATTAAATATATCTGTACTACACACACATATATATGTATATATATATACTGTTTTATATATATATGTATAGTGTTATTTTTCAAATATATGCAACACTACTGAAATAAATAATAAGCAGAAAAATTGTTTATAAGTGTTATTGACCTTATGCCAGCTTGCTTATGCATTCTCTTACACGATGGATTCTAAAAATACAATAGCATCCCTTGAGGTCTGCCTAACTTATAATACTAAAAGGGATTGTCATACTCAAAATCTTTATTACCACTGATTTGGAACATCTGGTGCAGTCCTGAATCTATAATCCATGTTCAGAAAATATATATTGATTGATTTCAGTCATAAGAGAAATTTTCTCCATTAACTTAAAGATAGTATTACCTTGAATTATATGATATTGTTTTTTTTATAAGATATTATTGATTTGCAACCATTTTGACCAAAAAAAGAACAATTTCATATGGCTCAACCTAATAGAAGCCCAGTAAATATTTATTGAATGAATGAATCAATAAATCAATATATTTTTACTGTTTTTATTCTGTAGCTATACAATACTATTCCAAAAGAAGTAGAAATAGCAATTTTGTGAGTATTTGTTACTAGACGCGCCTTGTTTTTTTTGTTCAAACTGGCTTGTGTGTTTAGATGTAGCCTAAGAGATAGAAATTGCCTGGGAAATTAATTTCCAGGTCTGAAACAGCCATTTCAGATGCCTGAACACCAGTAGCTCTTTCTCCACCAGCTAAAGTAAACTAATTTTCCTTTCCTCTTCCATCTTGATGAATGTATCATGTCCATGTCAGTTTTTTTTATACATTTATAATTACGTGGTGTGCTGATCCAGAGAAATGCTTGCAAATAATTTGCTTTTTTTTTCTTAAGGCTTCAAATCCTTTCTGTGCTTACTTTTTCCACAGAAACCTTTACCATTCTATCTGTATCCACTTCTAATTCATTATTCCTTTCTCTCCTTGCTGTTTTAATTATCTGAGATATCATCTAGAATGAAATTGAAGAAAACTGCCCTGTAATTCTGAGAATAAAAGAAATATAAGACCAGTGCCCACCCCCTTTCACCTCCACCTCTACCCATTCCCAGCGCATTGTTTTCTGCTAATTGTCACCATAACAGCCATACTGATTATTTATTTGCCACCTCTGGGAGGACTGCATGTTCTGTTTCTTCACAGTGCCTAGAGTGCTTGTGGAACAAAAGAAAACAGCTAGGAGAGGTTTGTGTTTAAGCAGAAGATATTCCCAAAATTCTAGATGCAAAATACAATTTATTTTGTATTCCTGAAGACACTTATGTACTGCCTGAACCTTAATTATGCTTCCCAACATTCGCAAAATTGAAACCTCCAACTAAACAACTCATTAATGTAGCTCCTTTGCAATTCATCCATTTGTTTCAAAAATGATAAAGGGGGAAAATTATGAATTTCAGGAGGTACTTGGTCACAACACCAACTCACATTTATTTGAATGTCTCAGAAAATAGAAACGGCAAAGCCTGCTGTGGGAAGAGTGTGGCATACAGGAAGTCAGCCAAGTGAGTAAACATGAAATGGTGGATTATCCTTGTTTGTGAAGAAGCCATTCCAGCAAGAAATTGAGTTGGGGGCTTCTGCATCTAAAACAGTGGGGCTACAGACAGCACCAGAGGGAGATTACTTTTGGGATGAGAGGTAGACTAGACTAAGGACTATGAGCCAGCACTGTCTAGTGGCCTGAGATTTGGACCAGGAGTCAGAGATTGGGGTTGAATCCCAGGGCTGTTACTTGCCAGGTTTAAGTAAATTATTGTCAGTCAGCAGACTCGTACTGAGTCCCTACCTCTGCCAGGCCCCGAGTCAAGTGCAAGGACTTTGTTCACACAATTAGATGCTTCTATCCCGCAACATCAATTTTTGCTCTTACAGATCCT